GTGGACAGAGAAACGAAGAAAATTACTTGATGTCCACCCTAAAGAAGAATGGCTACCCACGAAACTTTATCACAAGATGTCTATCCCGTACATCACCAACTACAAAGTCATCGACAGAAATCAATAAACGCATCATTCTACCGTACACAAAAGATATATCAGAAATCACGACAAGATTGCTGAGACCACTTGCAATTGGTGTGCTCATAAACCAACAAATTCCCTCCAAACACTTTTATGCAAACCAAAGGATGCAACAAACAGATAAGATAAACCGAATATCATTCATAAACTCAACTGCAATAATTGTAGTCAACACCACATTCATTGGACAAAGTGGTCACCCTCTTCATCTTCGTTTACATGAGCACTAACTGGTTATTATAAACGCCACAACATTTCATCGCTGCTCATTTCAATGCACGTGGCTATTTATGGACGTGAATTCAATTTTGACAATGTAGAGATTTTGGACGGAGAGAGGAAACACAAAGAATATCACCAGATGATTCCTAGAACCTTGGCATTCAGGTCAGTCAGCGATCAGCAGATGTCTAGACATAAACCCAATCTATCAACCAGTAAGAAAATGATAAACGACAGAAAGGTGAGATGTGAAGCAGAGGAACAGCCAACAGGAAAGTCCATACTATTGATGGTACAACAGTCAAAGGAAACAACCAATCACAGACCACATCGTCAGAGCAAGCCACTAAATCACTGATGGAGAGATATTGACAGCTCACTTCATACTGAAGTTAGTCCTGATGACGTTGGTGTCTAGAAAGACGATGAAAGCTTCACGATTAAACAACCCAGCTGAGAGAACACAATACAACTAAGAAGTTTGGTTACGTTGGAAGATGGTTTGAAGCAGCCTAACCAAGACGTGGTACCAGTCGATAAAGTTTCTGGTGGTTCATATGAGTCGTGTGGAGAGATGTAGACTATTGTGCTGGGATTCGTTGTACGATAAGAATCATTGGTTCAGGATTGACTTTTGGTGACAATACTAAAAGTCGATTATAATGGTGCAGATACATTCACTCCTTGACATCTTCTAAAACTTGAATATTTACACTAACCGTTATCTCCAGATTGTTTATTCACTCACACAACCTTAGCCACTTTGATCTCAATACCTTTTTTGTTCAACTATTCCATGCATGCTTGTGTGGAGTATGGAAATTTGAACAGATACCAGTGTATGCGAGGTTCTACGTTCATCTTGTCTGTTTATCTGTCTGTCTGTCTGAATAGCCTTCGAGGTTTTCATATACTACTTCAATTCATTTCTAAAATTTGTATCTCCTCTCTTCATGTTTTTTTCACAAACGAATATTGTGATAGTGTTTACTAAACAAACACTTATTCATCCTCCTTTGTAAGTGATTTACCTGACCATTTTCGAAATTTAGTTATTTACCAAAGAAGAGTTCCTTTATTGGTTATATTGAAGGACTGTAATGGGATGGGTGTCTCAAAGAAAATTTTACCCATGGATCTAGAATTCAAAAGAAACACCACAGCTGAAGTGCTGAAAAATCGTCTGTCAAGATGTATCAATAGTTACCTCTATGCTGCTAGACTGAGATTGATATTCTCCACCCTCCGTATGATTCTTCAATGCATGAAGGATAGGCTTCCACTTATGTCCACATCTATGTGTATCTACAAGTTCACATGCTCCTTTGGAACTGACTACATTGGACGTTGTGAGCGAGTCCTCCGGAAATGTGTTGCTGAACACTACCCGACTTCCCTTACCAAAGGCGAGCCACCTGTGGCGCCGCCGTGATATCCGATTGTCTACTAAGGGTCGCGTGTACTGCACAGCAGTCCGGTCTGTTCTACTGTATGGTTGTGAAACATGGCCACTGAAGGCCACGAAGACATGAGAAGGCTTCAAGTGTTTGACCACCGTTGCCTTCGTAGTACAGTATAGGCCGTATTCCGTGGTGTCACCACGTGAGTAACGCAGACGTCGGGCGTGGAGTTTTAGGCAGGAGAGGTAAATCAGTTGACGAGGTTATGAACCTTCATCGACTGAGATGGCCTGCAGGGACATGTGTCACACATGCCTAGTCGCTGATTGCCTCGTGAAATAATATTGGCCGAAGTAGGTTCAGACTGGTAAAAGGCTCAGGGCGACTAGATTAAAACATGGCATCAAATGTATGAAGTGTTTGACTGTTGGTTTGAGCGATGTAGGGGGGCGACGCAGACCACTGGGTGGTTGGGGTAGGCGGGACACGAGAAACCAGTGCTATGCTGAATCTGACCATTTTGTCATTCTTCCTTTCTTCCTTCTCGTACTTCATATTTCTTTCGACTGAATTTTCTTATCGTCATCTTGCGCCTCACTGCCTTGTTACTTGATGTACTGATATGAGGTGTGGCAAGTTGGACGGTTACGCGGTAATGCCTGGTCCTAGGTTGATCTGGATGGATGTATCAAAAGCAAGCAAAGGAAAACGACTTCTTCCATATGAGAACACTTTGTTGAATTAGGTCATTCAACACCTCGAGATTCATCCGTTAAAATAATTCATAAAGTTAAATTGAATTACTTCAAAGGTGTACGTTTCCACCACTTATGCGTAGCTGAAGCATTAGCTATATATGAACAAAAACCGAAACTTTGCATTTAGAAACGTTTTTGTGAAACCACTTTTTCTGCCTTGGCCTTGACAATTCAGTTTCATCATCCTGTCAATTACATTCCACTTCACTTTGGTACACTTCTCTCTTATCGTTATCATCAATTTTCACTTCATTGACGCCATTTGACCCATATTTCACTGGTTAATATCAATTCATTCCTTATTCATTGACCTACTTTGCGTGTTTCAGCTAAATTATTACCGTTTTACCATTCTTGAACAACAAAGTTATCCCTTATCTCACCACTCGTTATCAATTCGTTCCTCCTTATTCAGTAAACCATTTTCTATCACTTCCACTTGAACAAATACCACCACCTACACCGATTGTATATTTTGCATATTGACTGAGCAAGTCTCTTTTTAGTGGAATTATCTGTTACTTTATCGAGTATAAATACGACTACTGTACAGCTTGATAATGAAGTTGTTGAGAAGAAATGCTTCTTCTTAGCTGATACATGCCTTGTTCTGGTTAATGAATAAATGGGTATATTTAGTCAGTAACCTTGATTTGCCTCTGTTATGCTAATTGATCGTGGTCAACTACTTTTACCTGTGTATTTGATCTCGCAATATAATCTGGTTTACCAAATCCTTTACAATGATTGCGGTGTCAAATATATAGGTGAAGGTAGTCAACTAGGATCAATTAGAATAACACAGCACACAGAAACTTAGCTAAATTAAGATTAAAGAATCTAAATAAGACATTAACGAACAATAGTGTTGTCAAGTACATCCTCTTCAGGCTGTAGTCTAATACAAATAGCTTAATATATATAAAAAGGGAAAACCATTCATGTAGATTTAACGGTTGATGTGATAAATATTTTAAGAATAATGATGGTAATAATACTACAAATAATAATAATAATGATAATGATAAAAGTGATCCCGTTGACTAAACCACTTGCAATATAGATGGGATAATAATGATGATAAGAACTTAGAAAGCAGCATGAAAATGTAGGTAGATACTCGGATAATCAAAATGGGTCAAAAGCTTGTGGAAATAAAAGTTATGTAATACTAAAGGATGGGCTAAGTGGATAAATAAAGTCTAGACAAATACGGTAAGTAATATGAAAGGGGTGAAGAATAAGTAGGTAAGGTAAGTAAGTAATTCTCCGGCGAAGGGAGAGATAAGGGATGTATACATTTATTATGGATACAAAGACTAGGATTATTAGCTCAAATTCTCACAGCTTCTGTTATGTGGTGTAAGAGATGAGTTCGAATACCTTTCAAAAGATGAGATGGTATGTAGTGAATGATTATAAAAGCATTATTCTTATCTACCAAGTGACCACTATTAACGAGGTGAGATAAAACTGAACTTCTTAGGGATTTGATCTGTCCCTTTCCCAACCATGAAGGTAGATGCTCATCAACACGTATCCTAGATTGTCTAGTAGTACGCTGTATGCAACTTTCTCCACAGGAGCAGCTACACTTGTAAGTACACATGGAAATGGTGGAAGTGGATACCTTACCTTTCGTCTAAGAAGCAACAATTGGTTGAGTGAAAAATGACAGACAGAGTTGTGCAGTGTAGAAGGTCCTGTTAATGGCTGTTGAGAGTCTCTGATATAAAAGTTGTCCGGCTACATCCCCATTAAATTGCAATTTCATAAACAAAGGTCTCTTTTGTTTGGTAATAATTCCCCTCATCAGGGTTATGTTGCTTTCAAGTATTTTAAAAAGAGTATTATAATTTAATGAACGTCATTTAATTCTACTTTATAAATATTTGACTGAAAAGATTTTTGAGAAGTTTATCTGAAATACTCATAGTTGTAAAGGCCAGTTTTCTTGTAGTAATGTAGTGGGTGCTACTGATAAGGATGGATATAAGTAGTATATGTTGAGAAGTTGGCAGAAATCATAGGCGATTACCAGCGATGAGTAAATATTCTGCCCAGAGGAACTAAAAAGACAGTCTAAGCGTATTAAGAGCAAGTCGTGAAAGAAACAGAAGAGGAAATGAAGCATATTTTGCAAATGATTGTCTTAGTAGAAAGTGTATAATATTTCATCCCTACTGTACTGTACTGTCCTGCATCTCAGTCTTGTCGTTTCTTACAGTAGGATAATAAGTAAGGTTGGACTGAAAATATAGATCGACATATGTGATGTGTAAGTTTCTTGTTTCTTCTGTTTTTTATCAATTATTATCCGGTTTTTTTTTTGTTATTTATTTCTAGGGGAAAAAAAATTTTTAGATATTTCACAAGTTAGCCTATTTATTGATCAACTAGAATCTGACATCTTCAAGTCAAACTCACTTATAGACTAAACACAATTCACATCATTTAAGCGTTAAATTATCATTATATGGAGATATTTAAACTTGGTGAAGTGGGACCACCTAAAGATGATGATTTTCAACGATTTAAAACTATGGCAATGGATGAAAATCACTGGAAACGTCGTTATCGAAAAAAGAATACAGAAGTTTATACTCGTTCAACTCCGCATACTAGCATGAAAATGATAAAAGTTGTAGCCATTTTTCCAGATATATCTTCTCATATCATTTATGATATGATGCATGATAATACTTATCGATCATTATGGGATAATACTATGCGTGAATCTACACCAATTTGTCGAATTACATGGAATTGTTATATTGAACATTTTGGATGTAAGTATTAATGTATTGTAATGTATAATAGAATTTATTTAGTCAGAGCACCATTTGCTTTTTCAAATCGTGATTTTGTTTTATTACGTGCATGGAAACAATATGAACATGAGTATATTATTACAATCGATCTGTTTTTCATAAGGTGAGAGAGAATTCGCGTAATTATTATTATTATTATTTCACTACTTAGAAAGTACCACCAAGATCAGAGTATGTAAGAGCTATAACATATATTACTGGTTATGTGATTACTGCTCTTAGTTCAACATCCTGTCAATTAATCTATTTAACACAGAATGATCCTAGAGGTAAGTACATTTTAAAAAGATTTTCATATTAGTATAATTATTTTTTTATATCATACTGTCGTTGATTGCAATCAATTGATCGGTCTCTATTAGCATATTGGGATCCTGTGTGGATGCCTCAATATTACTTATGCTTTTATGATAGTAATGATAAATAGTGGTCAGCAGTGGAATCAGGGATGCACATTTCGTCCTATTTAGGACTCGTAAGCTAGATGTACCTGCTTACGAGTGAGCGATATTGTTCCCACCAGGATTCGGACTCCTGAGTCCGATCCCACTGCTAGCCACTATCCATCATTACGATTTTCACATTAGTCTATAAATGTGAATATTGTAATCTATTACGTAACTATTTTCTGTTCTCCTCTCGTTTAGTAATAGTAATAATAATAATAGTCACTTATTCACAGCAATACGTATGACACTATGGAATTCTCAGGATTTAACTTCACTCCTAGAACAACAATACTTTAAGAGGAAACGGCTATTGCATCCGCATAATGTTAATGATAACAGTATTCAAGGCAATAATCCGAAATAGCTAGTTGCCTCTGAATGGGCATCCAGTCCATAATGAACAATCACCAAAAATACATGCGTAATTCAGACGGTAAAAAATCGGCACCATTTTCACACCAAAAAGTCCATTTCCATATTAAAGTCAGATTTCTCTTCTTAACTTTCTTAAGAAAGAATTCAAAGCCTACACTGTGTAACCATCCAAGGAAGGCACCTCAGAAGCATTACAAAGAATTCTCAATAAGGTTGGTTGAGACTACACTGGCTGGTATTGAAACCAACAACTCACTTGGAAACAAGCTTTGTGTAGATTAAAAGATCCTATCGATGCAATTAAACAAAATACTCTGGTCTAACAAATCCATTCTAATGATTGTGAGGTCGAATACATAGGTCAAAGCAGTCGACCAGGATCGATTAGAATGACACAGCACAAAAACTCAGCTAAATTAAGATAAGTAGATGCTAATAAGACAAGGCTGTCTACTATCACATAAGATATTCGTAATTGTGATGGACTGGATGATGCAACAGACAAATATGAGGAGCGAGAACAAGGGGATACACTGGACAGGAGAAAAGGTTGTAGAAGGTTTTGATTTCGCCGATCACTTGTGTCTAATGTTGCACAAACTTGAAGACATACAGACGAAAACTCACAAGTTAACAGAAGAGGTGACACAGAGATGAGGGACTTCAAGTATATGTAGAGAAGACAGAGGTGGTAATGATATCGAACCAACGCCACCACCACCACCACCACCAACAACAACAACAACAACAAGAATCTGTAATCAACATGAACGGTGGAAAGTGAAAGGAAGTAGCCTCCTTCATCCACATCTACGTAGGCAGCATCGTTTCAACTACAAGTGGCACAGGCACAGACGAGGATGTCGAAACAGCTAGGATCGGAAAGACAGCAGACAGGCATCCATTAACCCGAAACCAGTGTGGAGATCGACTGCACTCCATCCAGCATAAAGCGTGAACAACATCCGGATTTTCAACACCAACATCAGTGAAGTCAGTTCTTCTATGTGATGGTTTAGAGACTTGACATTCACCAACAACTGCCTACGCTGACTCCTTACAGAAGCTCAGATGGCCAGAATAATGAGAATAAACAACAAGGAACTGCTCGTGGTTTGCAACGAACCAACGAGGTGAGAACCTATCGCTCAACAAATATACAGTAGAAGGCAGTGGAGATGGATTGGATTGGGCATTCACTGAATAGAGCATTTAAGGACATCACCCTCCAGGCCAGTTGCTCGGGTGGAACCCAGATAGGAGACGGCGAGTTAAGCGTCCGTGGTGAGGATGACATGAGGGAGATGGTGTGAGGAAGAAATGAATGCTTGTGGGCAGTAGTGGAGTCAGGTTCAAAAGATTCGAGAGAAGAGAGTGGAATGGAGACATGCTACTGGAGCCGTATGTTCCACTAGTAACCCAAGGGACAAATAATAATAATGAGATAGGTAATTTAGAGCACACCTCGACTACAGCTCTGAACGCAATTACATAGAATCACACCATAGTGTGGGATGAAGCGACAACACTGAAAACTAACCTAGTTGAGTGGAGGGAGGTAGACATTGATAACTGACTGAATCTTTGTTTATCGAATCAACACCAAATAAATTCGGTGACAGAAAAGATTCTGCACCTGTTGGAGATATATGGGAGATTCTACTATCCTTGTCATCACAGAGAAGGAGGGAGAATTAGGAATATATGAAGTCTGTTTCGAAGTTGTGTAGATAGTTATCTGATATGAATATGGGCAATAAATTGTGTCGGAAAGGTTATGCAGTAAATGATACTGTCCCTTCACTGTGTGATAATACTAACAGACAGACTAAAATGGAATTACAACCGATCACAGTGTCCAAGTTTTTCTCTTAGTTACTGATTCAAGAAACGGCGAGTTGGAAAACATTTAAAAAATGTTCAATAGTACATGACACGTTCAAACGACATACTTAAATGATTAAAACAAATCGAAAAAGAAAAAAATTAGATGAAAAATATTCCTTTTTTCGTTTTTTAACGTCGTTCTAGTTGTTTGTTTTTTATTACCATGAAGTAGGTTTAAAACTATTTCATGGTTAGACAAAAGTAAGGTAACAAGTATCACGATATCTGACATTCTACTGTTATCTCCTTCAGATGTTAAATAAGGAAGATAGGAACACAAGAAAAAACTCAGAGACATAGGAAAATTATTAGTTCATTGTTTTTAGTCGTAATTCAGTTTTCACTGGCAACAATCAAGGCGGTTGTGGAATATAAAATGTTGAAAATACTTCTTTAAAATAAACAAAACATCTCGACAAAAAAACTACTTAACTTTGAATTAGATTAGTCTAAGACGCATAAAAAGTTGAATTCTTTGATAAGCAGATCATGTAAGTTGAAATAGTTTTCTAGCTGACTGACACCTACCTATTTAAAGAGCCTCTTAGACGATCAAAAATTACTACTGTGAATGTTATGAGAAATCTAAAGTAGGGAAAATATGAAATTTTATGACAGAATAAATTCATCAGTCTCAATCTCAGTATAAATACTAGTTTGCCAAACCACGGCTATCTCAGGTAATAAACTGATAATCTCAAATAGTAACATTATTTATTATTATTTGTCCCTCGGCCTAACTAGCACGTCGTCATTTCACTCTCTTCTCGACCTGGTTCCACAGTCGCCCAGTAGCTTTCATTTCTTTCTCACACCATCTCCTCCATGTCACCCTCGCATGCCCAACTAATCGTTTTCCATTCGCATTCCACTCCACGACCTGGCTTGATGTGTGATGACCCCAAAACGTTTTTTCGGTCTATGCCGAATCCAATCCAATACATCTCTACTTTCTCCCTCTGCATATCGACTGAGCAATAGGTTCTCAGTCAGTTGGTCAGTTGGTTGGTTGTTTGGTTCATTGCCAGCCAGAGTGAGTTCCTTGTTGCTTGTTCTTATTATTCTGGCCATCTGATCTGATCTTCAGTATCGAGCGAGTGTAGGCGGCAACTGTTAATGTGATGTATATTTTCAGGTTGTTTGTAATGCTTTTCGTCACGCTCTATATCTCTCAACCATCACATAGAAGCACTGACTCACTTGACTGAATTAGTGTTGAATATTCAGATCTCGTTTACGCCTTATGCTGACCCTACGGCAAATTTCAGTATCCACCCCTGACTGTTCTTACATAATATCTTGAACGCTATTTTCGTATTAAACTTATGATTTATTTCGATGATATACTTTGCGATAGATGAAGATGGATATCTGTCATCTGCACTTACTAAAGTTTTTCAAGCCATTTAGGTATATGTTCACCCACCGCAGTCTCATAACACAATACTCAAGATCAGATAGATGGCCGAAAAGAATAAACAACAAGGAACTTACTCTGGCTAGCAACAAATCAACCAAGAACCTAACGCCCGACAAATATGCAGAGGAAGAAAGTGGAGATAGATCGGGCATACACTGAGAAGACCATTCGGGGACATCACTCGTCAGGCCGTCGAGTGGAATGCGAATTGGAAACCACGAGTTGAGCATGCGAGGGTGACATGGAGGAGATGGTGTGAGGAAGAAACCAAAGCTTCTTGGCAGTCGTGTAGCCAGATTGAAAAGACTGGAGAGAGGAGAGTGAAATGATGATGTGCAGCTGAAGCTCTAGGTTCCACTGGGAACCCAAAGAACAAATGATAATAATAATAACCAGTAAAACACACTATTTAGCTCAGTTAATCATTGTCGAGACAAGAAAACACCTGCTTCACTGACAAACCTCAATCTCACACGGATGATTATGTCGTATCTCAGCGTGTTTACCAATTTACATGTACGTTTGGGCACAAATACATAGGAAGTAGTGATCGTGTAATGCGGACTGCGGTGTGTGAACATATACCTAAATGGCTTGAAAAACTTTGGTAAGTGCAGATGACAGATATCCATCTTCATCTATCGCAAAGTATATCATCGAAATAAATTATAAGTTTAATAAGGAAATAGCGTTCAAGATATTATATAAGAACAGTCAGGGGTGGATACTGAAATTTGCCGTACCGTTAACTATTCGTAACCCTTTCCCCCCCTGTTGTGTGTTGTTCCACTTCATTCACCTTTGTAACCCTTGGCAACCTGATATACGACGAAGATTAGTGTCTCGATTTTTTCATATTCATCCTATTTAACTTCGACTTGACAAGTAAATATGTGATCATACTGTTTGAAATATATCGCGCAAATACATCATTTGTTGTATTTCGAGGGGCTTGTGGGGATTTATAAGTATTTTCAAGTTAGCATTCATTGTAAACTGATATCAGTTGGAGGAACAGGTGAGGACTCCCATACTAGAACGAAACAGTTGTCCAGTGCTCCCAGGTTTCGTTGGTTCCTCCAACTGATGTCAGTCTACGATGAATAACAACTTGAAATATTTCCAACTCCTCACAACCCTCTCAAAATTCAATTGAACTGGTGCTCTTTGGTGACCTGCTTCGAGATGTGTTCTCGAACTTCCAATGAGAAGTCATGACCGATGGAGGCAAAGCCTGATGGTCGTGAGGACAGTTACTCAACGATGACATTGGCTGGCAGTTAAAAGTCGAAAATATGGACCATTGGATTCTGATCCAGTGGCTAGCTCAATGGTAACGTGCTGGTCACGGAACCTGAAGATCTCGGGTTCGATCCCTGGCTGGCGGGGTCGTGGGTGAGCACTGCTGAGGAGTCCCATACTAGGACGAAACAGCTGTCCAGATAGTTCTCGTCTTGTAATAGTGTTATGGAAAAGAAATATATTTGTTTATTTATCAAATATTTTCAATTAATTTCTAGGTGATATTCCATCATGGGCTATAAACTTAGCAACTACAAAAGTATGTCCACGTCTTGTAAAAACACTTCATCAAGCTGCTTTAAAATATCCTATATGGAAAGCTCAAAATTATCCAAATTTTAAACCATGGAGAAATATTGAACAACAAGATAAAACAATACCTGAATTATGTTCAAATGATATATTGAATGAACCAGATTTTTCATTGAAAAAAATTCATGAGAAACGTGTTACCAAAGAGGGTGCATTAAAAGAGATTGGTTTACCAGTTGATACAAAAATTGATGAAGATAGTTCCTAGTATATAGTTGTAAAAAAAATTTATAAATTTTTCAACAGAGTTTATTATTCCTCTTTCATTGAATTTTCATGTTATTCATTATTCATGCATAATTCACTTTTAAAAAACTTCTCTCTCATTATATCCTTCACTTTATTTACACCTATATGTGTTTAACAATTTCATCTTGATTATTTAATTCAATATATATTACTTGGCTACGAGTTAGACTTTTTAAACACTTTTGGTCGACTATAAGGGTCACCCTAACAACTGCCAAAATAGCCAATCAGGTTATGATATTTTGGCTAAGAAGATAATTTTTCATAGAACACAGAGAAATATGATTGGTAGTTTCATTAGTTGGTTGATAGGTTGGACTTAAAAATTTTTCAACATTTTCATATTGTAAACTAATCTATTTTCAGTTAAAGTAGGCCTAGTGATAAATTCATAAGAAATCGAAAGGAAAATATTAGCAGCAGTAGTAGTACTAGCAACAGTGGTGTTTACAATGATAATAATGGTAACAGTGTTATGCAAGAATTCAAAGCCTACACTGTGTAACCATCCAAGGAAGGCAACTCAGAAGTATTACAAAGAATTCTCCATGCAATTAAACAAAATACTCTGGTCTACCAAATCCATTCCAATGATTGTGAGATAGAATACATAGATCAAAGCAGTCGACCAGGATCGATTAGAATAACACAACACAAAAACTCAGCTGAATTAAGATAAGTAGATGCTAATAAGACAAGGCTGTCTACTATCACACATGATATTCGTAATTGTGATGGACTGGATGATGCAACAGACAAATATGAGGAGCGAGAACAGGGGGATACACTGGACAAGGGAAAAGATTGTAGAAGATTTTGATTTCGCCGATCACTTGTGTCTAATGTTGCACAAACTTGAAGACATACAGATGGAAACTCACAAGTTAACAGAAGAGGCGACACAGCGAAGACAGGACTTCAAGTGGATGTAGAGAAGACAGAGGTGGTAATGATATCGAACCAACGCCACCACCACCAACAAAAACAACAAAAACAACAAGAATCTGTAATCACCATGAACGGTAGAAAGTGAAAGGAAGTAGCCTCTTTCATCCACATCTACGTAGGCAGCATCGTTTCAACTATATGTGGCACAGACACAGACGAGGATGTGAAAGTAGCCAGGATCGGAAAGACAGCAAGACAGGCGTTCATTAACCTGAAACCAATGTGGAGATCCACTGCACTCAGTATAAAGCGTAAACAATATCTGGATTTTGAACACCAATTCAGTCAAGTGAGTCAGTTCTTCTATGTGATGGTTTGGAGACTTGGCGTGTCACGAAAAGCACTTCCAACAAATTATAGACATTCATCAACTACTGCCTACGCTGGCTCTTTACTGAAGCTCAGATGGCCGTAATAATGAGAATAAGCAACAAGGAAATACGGTCTGGCAACGAACCAACCAACGAAGAAAAAACCGTCGTCCAACAAATATGAAGAGGGAAGTGGAGATTGATTGGGCTTACACTGAGAAGACCATTCAGGAACATCACGCTGCAGGCCACTTGCTCGGGTGGGACGCAGATGGGAAACGACGAGTTGGGCGTCCGTGGTGAGGTTGACATGGATGAGATCATATGAGGAATAAATGAATGCTTGTGGACAGTAGTGGAGCCAGGTTCAAAAGATTGGAGAGAAGAGAGTAGGATGGAGATGTGCTACTGAAGCCCTACGTTCCATTAGGAACCCAAAGGACAAATAATAATAATAATAATAATAATAATAATAATAATAATAATAATGAGATAGGTAATTTAGAGCACACCTCGACTATAGCTCTGAACGCAATTACATAGAATCACACCATAGTGTGGGATGAAGCGACAACACTGAAAACTAACCTAGTTGAGTGGAGGGAGGTAGAGATTGATAACTGACTGAATCTTTGTTGATCGAATCAACACCAAATACATGCATTGGCAGGAATGATTCTGCACCTGTTGGAGATATATGGGAGATTCTACTATCCTTGTCATCACAGAGAAGGAGGGAGAATTAGGAATATATGAAGTCTATTTCGAAGTTGTGTTGGTAGTTATCTGATATGAATATGGACAATAACTTCTGTCCGAAACGATGTTACGCAGTAAATGATACTGTCCATTCACTGTGTGTGATATTTCTAATGAATAGACTAAAATGGAGTCTATTTTCATGTTTTATTTGTCAATTATTTCAATGAAAATTTCCGCAGCTATCAGTCCAAAGAATATAATTACTTTTTGAGGGTGTGAGAATGAACTATTGGATAGTATTTTTAAGACGGAGATCATATCAATTCGGTATTTATATAACGTAATTTGTAAATAATTTTACAGCTTGATCATCGTTTCAATTGATCTAAGCCATTTAGGCGTCTGAGTGGAATTTCTGAGAGCACGTTGCTAATAAGCTTCGCTCTGACCTGACCTGGCTGACTGGTGAAGCCAATAGATCAGGTTGATCCTTATCTAATTAGTGAAGAAATTCTGTAGTATATTTCGCTAAGGTCATATCAGTATAAAAATCAAGTCAACACAGAGAATTTTTTGAAGTTGAAGGCAGACGTATGTTGGAGAGAAGGTAGAAAAACGCTGCAATGCAACTCACTACTGCATTATACTATATAGTGAAACTATCTTGCATTAAGTAGAAGTGTAGTGGACGTCGCTGATCAAACTGGATATAAGTAGTATACGTTGAGAGGGCAGTAGAAATCATAAGAAACTACCAGCAATAGGTAGAGATTCTGCTAAGGGGAACGCAAGAGACAATGTGGGTGTATCAACAGCAAATCAAGATAGAAGCTGAGGAGAAAATGAAGCACATTGTGCAGTTGTACAATATTTGTTGACTACTGTACAGGATGTCACTGATAAACATTCCTTCCTTCGTCTTAATCTTGTCACCATCGTCAGCCTGCTTGCTGCATACGGAAGTCCAACGGTCTAATTGCATGACAGACGAGGCTCAACTTTTGGATTACAATGGTATGTAACAAGAGACAGGATCTAGTAAGGAAGCTGATGTCAAGAAAGGTGTCAAGAGTACGTATGTCACCATTCACAGTTGAGGTTTTCGTGACTTCATCGTCAAACGAGAGTTGTTGAGGGCTATTGTTGATTGTGGGTCTTAGCATTCATCAGAAGTTCAGCATGAATGTATTCTCCAAGGAATACTGAGTATGAACGTGCTATGTCAATCAAAGTCTGGTATGGGACTGACTGAAGTTTTTGTGATCGCTACACTTCAACAACTGGATCCTGAAGGTAAAGCAAACACATGTGTAGCGGTCCTGTGCCATACAATAGAGCTTGCTTTCCAACTAAGTAAGGAATATGAACGTTTCTTCAAATAGGTGCCTAAGATAAAGGTGAGTGTATTCTTTGTTGAAATGCCAATGCACACGGACATTGAAACTCTGACAACATCTGCAGTCCATATTGTCCTCAGAACTCCAGGTCAAATTCTGGATCTGGTTAGAAGCAAAACATTAAAGCTACAACATGTGAAGCATTTCATCATCGAAGAATATGATAAACTGCTAGATATGCTCGATATGCACGGCAGTGTGTTAGAGGTATTCCACATGACTCCACATCAGAAACAAGTTATGATGTTCAGTGCAACAATGAGTAGAGAAATCCGTCCTGTGTTCAGAAACTTCATGCAAGACCCATTAGAAATATTGTACACTCTCCACTAAGACAGTTATTTGCATAATGTGCTTCATTTCCTTGTAAGTTTCTGTCTCGATTTGTTATTACTACACCTATATTGCCTTTTGGACTTCTCTGAGTAGAATCGTTACCCATTTCTGGTAGTTCCTTATGATTTATGTCGCCCTACCAATATATACTACTTGTATCCATTCCGATCAGCAACAAACATTACAGTAGAATAGTAATGGACCATTCTGATGTATAGTTTAATCAACTTCTTGGTCGGTGACTTCTTCGTTCACTTCAAATAATTAAACACTTTGACTTCAATGTTTAAAACATAACCGTACTAGGAACGAAGACGAAACAAGACAAGGAATGGATCTTTACGAACACATGGAAGCTGATAGACGAGAGGAAGATAGTGAAGCAGAAGATGAATCAGTGCAAGGATGAACAACGAAAAGGCGAACTGCGTACAACGTATAAAATACTGGACAATGAAGTGAAGAAGAGTGCGCGAAAAGACAAAAGATACTTCTACAACACACTTGCAAGGGAAGCAGAAAAGGCTGCAGGTAGGAGAGACCTGACAGCATTGTACCAAATAGCCAGGTTATTATCCGAGGAGAGACCAATGCAAACGAAACCAATGAAAGGTAGTGAAGGAAAGCTAATTACCAAAGAGGAGAAGCAAAGGAAGCAAAAGCTATTGAATCGACCACCACCAGCAACGACAAAACTACCAGTGAACAGAGGCTCTCCGACAAAAGCAGAAGTCCTGAATGCCATAAAACTGCTGAAATTCGGGAAAGCAGCAGGACTAGATAGAATCCCACCAGAAGCACTGAAAACAGACTCAAAGACAACAGAGGACAGGCTCACATCACTACTTCAGAAGGTCTGCTAGGAAGGAAGGACAAGTACCTGCAGATTGGAAGAAGGCCTACCTTGTCAAACTCCCAAAGTAAGGAGATCTAACGCATCATTCTACCGTACACAAAGGATATATCAGAAATCACAACAAGATCACTGAAACCACTTGGAATTGGTGTGGCTCATAAACCAGCACTACTACGCAAACCAAAGGATGCAACAAACAGAGAAGACAAACCGAATATCATTTACAAAATCAACTGTAATAATTGTAGTCAACACTACATTGGACAAATTGGTTACCCTCTTCGCCTTCGTCTACACGAACACTAGTTTGCTATTCAACGTCACAACATTTCGTCACTGCTCATTTCAATCCATATAGATAACAACTTTACACATGAATTCAATTTTGACAGTGTAAAAGTGTTGAGTG